TGGTTGCATCATTAGTTTTATCAACCGGGGAAGAGATGACATTCGTATCCCCCACACAAACAATTAGGATATTAGATAATAGTCCAATAGAAAAAAAAAAAATCATTCCATGAGACGTATCATCCTTTTGAATAACTAAGTTTAAGGATTACGTATTCTTACCCATCAAGATAATTTTATATTTGACGTGTTTTAAAAGCACCAAGATATTTTCGAATCAACTTGCTACATAGGAGAAGTCACCACTCCATAACCTTCCCAGTCTTATGATAAATGTTTTATTTGAGTTTTCTTATAGGTGAGTTCCTATAATAATAATTAAATCCAAATTAAATGATCCAATTAGGCCAAAAATGGTCTCCTTGTAATTTTTCTTAAGAGATCATTGACAATTCCAAGAAAGTATATTGAAGAAACAATGTTGGGAAAAAAAAAAAATGAAGAGACAAAACTCAACCAAAATAGAAACGGAAAGAGAAGTAGGTTTATCATATTTTTCTTTTATTGTAGTACATAAATGAAAGCAGGAAGTGATTTAGGCTTCCCTGACGGAGATGACATCATATTCTGGTTCGATATTTAGGGGTTGAGACTGTCCATTCTAGCTCCAGGTTTCTATTGAATAAGTCGTCACCCATTATAGCACTTTCGTCTATAGCTTTTTTGAATGCAGTTACCATTTTGTCAACCTAGAGCATCAAAGGGAGGAGTGAGTCATGTGAACAATACGGGTCTCTTGCTAGAAACACTTGCATAAACAAAAAACACGAAGAGTAAAGGCTCCCCTTTAGAGAAAGGGTTAGCTGAGGTGACAATAGCCTCGATAGAAAGAAGGGGGAAAAGGGGTTGGAGAGAGGAAGCAAGATGGGTTCCCTAAAAGGTTTAGAGGAAGGATCAACCTAGGAAGTGGGGATAGCCTTGTCTTTCTTCAATCTACCCTTATAGGTTGTAGCATGAGAGGGTATAATTAAATATAGTGATAAGGAATTGCTAGCATGATCTCTTACGACTATCTGACACTATGACAACAAGAGGGACTATAAAGAGAAAGAATGATCAATAGCATTAAATGATCATCTTGAAGAGGAAGCCATGTTTGAACTCGAGCCTTGACCACTAAATGACAGCTTAAGGTTGAGGCATTGTCATAGGGTTAGCTAATCTTGATTTCATCAAAGCTTAGAGATCATGAACTTGTTAGAGTAGTTGGGTTTGAAGAGAATGCATTTGAGGTTGGCTTTTTCCCGTTACTCAGGTCGGAAGGATTGGACTTGATCCTTTTAGACTTGGGTAGACATTGGATCTAAACCTAAGGTCTATAGAAAAGGTTATCATTCTCCCATTATGAGCTAAGTTGAATTGGATAGGGGGTGAGGATAGAAATTTTAAATTCTTTCATAAGGTGGCCCATTCTAAACATAAAAATAATCTTATTTTAACCCTCAAGTCTTGTGAAAGAACTAAGATTTCCAATCCTAAATCAATTCTATAAGAATTTGTTAATCGGTAGTTTGGCCTTTCAAATATCTCTTCTCCCTTTGTTATGCTTCCTTGCCTAAAAACTTTCTTCATAATATTCCTTCTTTCTCCCATGACTTTTTGGTGAAAGATTTCTCAAGGGAGAAATTTGTTAAGGCTCTTAAGCATTTAGGCAAGGTCAAAAGCTCAAACCCTAGTAAATTTAACATAAATTTCTATCTATATTTTTGGAATAATATATTTTCTTTTGTTGTCTTTGCTTTTAAGAAATTTTTTGAAACTGTTACTATCTCAACTAGTTGGTGTCAAAATGTGCGAATATTAGTACGATCAAGGATTTTTTATGAATCTCATTATGTAATGTCATATATAAATTGTTCTCTAAAATCATTGCTAATAGGATAAAAGGGTTACTTGGCTCTTTCATTATTCATAAATGATCAGCTTTTATCTAAGATAGAAATATATATGATAATATAAATATAGTATTTGAACTTATTTATTCTATATCTTAGTTTAAAGAAAAATCTCATTTGATCCTCTTTAAACTAGATATAAAAAAAACTTACGTTTGAAATGAGTTAGTAACGAGGCAAATGAGTTATCATTCTAGATTCATTGAGTGGTTGCATGTGTTTCATCTCCTAGCTTTACTTGTTTTGTCAATGACACTACATCTAATTGGTTCTATAGTAAAAGAGATTAGGTAGGGGGATTCACTCTCCTAATTTTTTTTATTTTAATCTAATTGATTCTCTCCTCATTGATTTCTTATGAGATTTCTAATAAGAGGATTCTTCCTTTCAACCTGAAAGTGATGAGAATCTCTCATCTTATGTTTACAAACAATCTCATCCTTTCCTTTAGAGCTACTCATCGATCTTATATTTCAATTTTAAGGATTCTCTAGGTGTGGTCTACGGGTCAATGTGGTTAAATCAAATATCTATTTTTTCAAAAATGCCTCTTCCAACATCATACATGAGGTTTGCAACTCATTAGGTATCAAGGAGGGGGGTATAGTCCTTCAAATATATTAGAACATTTATAGGTTTAGGTAGGCTTTCTAAAAGCCATCAATCTTTGTTGGCTAATAGGGTGTTGGGCCGCATCAAGTGATGATACAATAGATACCTTATTAAAGTAGAAAGATTGGTCTTGGTTAATTCTGTGCTCAATGCCCTCTGAATCCATGTCCTTAATAGTTGGGTATTTGAGAAGATCCTTCACTATATGTCCTAACTCTCTAAGGATTTCTAGTGGGATGATAAGTAAGATTCTAAAAGACTCCATCTCATTAGTTGGGATATAGTTTATAAGGATAAGGAGGAGGGGGTCTAGGTAATAAGGACTTCTTTAGAGTCAAAGAAGTAATTTGTGCCCAAAGGCTCCTTCCCATTTTTAATGGTATTTAGTAACTTTAGGTATTAGTTATTAGAGCTAAGTATGACATTCTTCACCTGTGGGCTGAGTTGGGTTGTAATAAAAACATACATAACCAACTTAGGAAGGTTAGAGGGGAATTTAAAATCATTGTTGGTAAAAAAATATGATTTCTATGTGAGCTGACTCATGGATTTCCAATACATCATTATGTTTCTGGCATACTTTTGTAAATGTGGGGATAGTTTCTCATATTTCGTTTTGTGTTGGATTTGATTTCTAATAGCGGCTTGAGATGTGAACAAATATATTGGTGGTGAAAGGAGCATATAAAATATTAAGCAACTTAATAACAACAAGGAGGAAGGTGGCCTACCAATAATAAAATTTATGTTTTTACACTATGTTATAATGTTTTCAATAATATCAGAAAATACTATAATATAGTGAACAATATTATTATAAACTTATATTTTTCTAAAACAAGAAAAGTCTATATGTCAATTCATCAAATCTCAAAAGTCACATCCATTGATGGTAGGGATAGATAGTATATGGTAACTAAGTTTTCAATTATTCATCGAATTAAAAAAAATAGTTAAATGTTTATATATCATTTGTCCTTAGCATAGAGAGATGGTATGTTTTGAGACTTAGAATACAATCTTTTATGTTAACAAAAATATGAATCAATTAATTATTTATTTTTTGATATATTTTTGCTAACAAGATTTGAGATATTATACAAGTCAAACTAGAGGTATATAAATGAAGAAGATATGATTTCGATTATTGAGTCTATTAATATCAAGACTCTTTAATTGTTATATACCTTTGACTCATTTGGAAGACTGATAATAATAGTACGATATTCATTGAGAACAATTAGAGCGCCTCGTTGATCAAAATAAGAACAACATATGGATGGATGGTATAAAATTAATTAGAATGATTTCATGATAAAAATGAGGGTGTAGGACTTGTCGTAAAAAAAATCTAATGATAAATATATATATATTGAAAACATATATTATAAAGTAAATATATATTATACATAAAAATTATATAAATTATTTTAAATGATGGAACATTCGAAACATTAGGATTGAGTCTGATTTCAAAAATAATAACGAACATTTAGAACTAGATGATCGATACATCGTCATCTCTTTTAGATATTATTTATAAAAGAGATTATTTATTTTTAGCGAGTGAGTGCATTTGATTTTTTTTTATGTAATATATATTTTTCTAAAAAAATTCATATTCCCTTGATTTCTCCCAACGATTAACTACCTTCTTAAAAAAAAATCAAAAACAAAAGCAACCTCGGACTCCACATCCCAAAGTTAGTTACCTTACCACAAGCTTGGAATGATTATAAGCGAGCCTCACAAGCCATCCCATCACCGTACCACAATCCATCCCATGCTTTCCAGCCTCACCCACAGATTCGCACCAATTCGAGCATCTTTGTTTAACCGTACATCCACCGTCCATTTTCTCGCTCGACGCATCATCCTCAACGATCAACGGCCGATGCCGCGTACTTCGACCGGAAGCAAAGCGGGGCCCCGCCGTAGCAGTACAAGAAACGGGACAGCCTATCAACCCGAGAGCAAGGACGAAGCCGACCAGATGGAGACGGGCGGGGTAGAGATCGCGTTCTTCGATGTGGAGACGTCGGTGCCGGGCCGCGGAGGCGGCGGCAACGGGTTCTCTCTGCTGGAGTTCGGGGCCATCGTGTTATGCCCGCGGCGGCTGGTGGAGGTAGCGAGCTACTCCACCCTCATCCGCCCCGCGGACCTCGGCGTCATCTCCACCGCCTCCGTCCGATGCAACGGCATCACCAGGGACGCCGTCGCCACCGCGCCGTACTTCCGAGACGTCGCCGACAACGTCTTCAACGTCCTCCATGGTGAGAAGCTCGCCCCTTTTCTATTTGCCCTCTGTTCCACTTCTGACCGCCGAGTTGCCTCGTGTTGGTTGTGATCCTTGAGTGCGCTGTTGATGAACAGGACGGGTGTGGGCTGGGCACAACATTCTGAGGTTCGATTGCCCTCGCATAAGGGAGGCGTTCTCAGAGATCGGGCGGCCTGCTCCCGAGCCCAGAGGCATAATTGATACCTTGCCTTTGCTCACGAAGAATTTCGGGAGAAGGGCTGGCGACATGAAGGTACTGTTGCCCAATTTCAGATGTATTAATCTTGGTCTTCTCCATCTGTGCTTGCTTTGGCTTGGCTCTTGTTCTCGGATCCAAGAAGTCGAACTTTCTAGGGTTTCGGACATTGCTTATCTCAATTTACCGTCCCAGCTACCTCCAATTGCTTTTTAGATTAACGGAAACATGACTGGGATTATCTTTTATGCAGATGGCTAGTTTGGCGTCTTACTTTGGTCTCGGAAAACAGACACACAGGTATCTATTCTACCAGTAACCTAAACTGAGAAAGGTCTCTGCTTCTAATCAAGGTTATGAGCGAGACATGTGTTATATTCTTTTAGTTTCATTGGTCTGCTTCCTGCTATTGATCTGAACTAGCAGAATCGCTATTGTATTAAGATGCCTGCATCTGTATGCTTATGAGAAGTTGGTAAATACTACAGTTTGTTTAACCTGTAATTAGAATTGCTTAGTGCAGGCAAGAAAAAAACAGTAATATAGAGGTCGGTTGTAGATGAACCTTTAGCAGCCAAGCCGTTGATCATCAAACGAATTTTTGATGTCATCGATAGTAAGCTATGTTGAGTTTGAGAATCCAAAAAAGCATGGAATTATCTAATTTGAGGTATGATCATTCTTTAGCATGGCAGAGTACCCAAAATGCACCGTATATTGAAGGGGAGTGTTTTTAAGACTTCTGCCTTCAGAATTTCCAGTGGACTTCCTAGAGTTTTGATTGTTGATATGAACAGTGACAAAAGTTAGTGGATGATACCTCCATTAGTTGTTTGAAAATAGAGATACAGCATTCCAAATGGTTGACAAATTCTAGGTCTTCACTTCGCCTTTCAGTTGATATTCTATAATTTACAAGTTGTTCCATATATTTTCTGGTCACGTTTCTGCTTAAATGTTCTCCTTCTTGGATTTATTTCATTCTGATACCCTGAATTTTATGTAAATGACCATTATCTATGTATGCTTTTGGATCCTTCTTTCCTCATTTGGGTATCCACATGTTTTCCATTGAATTAGCACAATAAATTCTTATGTGGAATCTCTTGTCCCTTCTTTGTAAATATATTGTTCTGTTCATATTCAGCCAAGCTTGATGGATCATGTAGCACAGCGTATTCGTGTTCCTCTGTCATCATAGTTATGTGATTGTTCATGCTATATTGCCTGGTAACAGAGACAACTGAGCAAGAGTAAGGACTTCAATAGATCCTACAGGACTATGAGGAGCAATTCAATCTCATCCTTTGTTCTGGTCATTTGTCTAATTCTTGCATAATGAGTAAATGACTGCAAACATGGATCCATGCTTGGCCTTTGTCTAGATTTAACAATAAGTTTTGATATAATTCCAGACTAATGTCTTTTCATAAATCTCTGTCTGGTCAGGAGCTTAGATGATGTTCGAATGAACCTAGAAGTGTTCAAGTATTGTGCTACCGTTCTTTTCTTGGTAAGTATACAACTTTTTTCCATGGTGTGATTTTTTTTTTGAAGGAAAGGTATAAACTTTTCCAGTGGTTGTGGCCTGGTTAAGGCCTTCCTTTCATTTTTATTTGGGGGTACAATTAGCTAAAAGTCTAGTTTCCACAGGAGGCGAGTCTCCCAGATGTGTTTTCTATGGCCAGTTTGGAGTACAATCACACAGCATCCGGAACTGAGGCTAATGGCCGTACTTCTGCTGATCAAAGTCCAAACTCTTCTGTTGTTCCATTCAGCAGGAAACAAAAATCAGACTTGAGCCAGGTTATATTGGAGCCCAATGATAGAGCTGGATCCAGTATGCCGATATCAAAAGGGGTTCCTTCTGACTTGGCGTCACATATGGAGCAGATGAAAATAGATTCCTTGCAGACAGAACCAGCATGTAACTCTGAGATGCCCTGTGCCACAACTCCCGCATCTGAAAGTTCCAGTAGTCATGCTGGATTTTTGAAGCCTGATGAAGTGTTGCCACAGCAGATCAGTGCACCCGTGATCCAAGGTAGTCGCAAGACAATCCTACTTCACAGAGATTGCCCTTTGCAGCTTTGTTGTATGGGAATGAGGATCCATTTTGGGGTCAGTTCTAAATTTATGGACTATGCCGGACGGCCAAAACTTAGTATTGTGGTTGATGCTCCAGAGAACTTGTGCAAGGTTTTGGATGTCTGTGACCAAGTTGCTCAAATATCATCTGAAAATTCTGGTAGCAACTCTGAATGGCGAACTCTGCTAAAGAGGAATGACTACTCAAATACTTTTACCATTCGCCTGCAGTAAGTTTCCTGAGATCTAAATACTTTTACCATTCATCTGCAGTGAGTTAGTTCCCTGTGGTCTAAGTATCTTACACCTTTATCCAACAATCTTAGCATAAATTGTTGTGGAGATTTTGGCACATGGGGGCACTTTGTCAAGACCTTTGTGGAACAGCTTAAGTAGCTAATAATTCAGCAAATAGGTACCAAGTTGGATAATCACAGTGTTTTGCATGTTCTTGCCTTTGTCCTATGCTTATAACTAAAAGAAAACAAACGATTTATACTTTCTGCAATATTTTATCACATAACTAAAGGAGTTCTGTATCCCAGAAAGAGTTGGAATATGATGTACTGCTGCAAAATCCAAGGTGACTTGGCCTTAGATTTTCCCTTTCCTATTTCCCCTGCTAAAATTAAGCATCGAAAAACTAATCGAAAGCTTATTCATCCATAAGCTTTCCTTGCAAAGATTTCAGTTTTTGTTTATAATGAGCCCATCTTTTAAGGGGCGTGCATGTGTACTCCATGTGTTCGATCCTTTTTGTGGCTTTACATTTTGATTAGAATCTTACAATTAATTGACATTGTCATACAGCATCCCTACCGTGGCAAATGGTGATGGAGCTGTTTCCTCGACGGACATATACCAGAAGGACCCTCGTGGGAACATGCAGAAGCTTGAGTTGAGTAAATTGGATGCTGCTGAGCTCGATCAAATATTTCTTTCAGGAACTGCTGTAGATGCTTGTTTCTCCACAGACATCTATGATTACCAACAGAATGCTGGTATAAGATTGGTGGCCAGAAGACTGGTTGTCAATTCCAGATAGGAAGAGCTTGATATAAGGTATATGGTAGAATCTGCTCACCATTAACATGTGATGTAGAAACATTATGCATAACATGTGAGTGTAATTGTTCAGTTATTATTTGATTTATCCTGATGCTCAATAATATTTGTTGATCACTTTAACATGTGTAACATATACCGAGCAATTTCATGCATTTGTGTCCTAATGGACTCACTCGACATTTCAGATTTACAAACTTCAATGTATTTGCTACTACACTAGACTGTTCCCAACTTATTTATTTGCTGGGATTGCCAAGTTATTTGTTATGTGCCACCTTTTACGTTGCAAACTGGATCCTGAGAAGTGTTTGATGCATTGGTGAATAGAATAAGTTGAGTACCACTTTTAATGACATTGCCTGAAGTGTTTAAGCTAAATAAATTACTAATAGAGGCATCATGTTTTCGCTGCACAAAAAACCTTATTTTTAATTGATGTGAGGCTTGCTAGGCTTTAATTTGACACTCTTGAATTAGTATGAATCATTCTTTTAAGGGGCTAATTATATATTTGGTATCTCAATCCTTATATTTTAAAAAGTTATAAAAGATACCTCACGTGTTGTCACGTGTAGAAATGACATTAAAAAAGAGATAAAAATATAATTTTGATTTTCATTGTTCAAAGATATTAATTTGATAGCAGGATAACTTCTGTGAAAGTTTCAATATTCTCTCAGACAACTTACCCAATAGTGATATCGGTAACGATCCTCATCTCCTGCACTGGTCCATTTCTCCTACTTTACTATCCTCTCTAACAACCTATCCAATCATGGCATCGGTGGCAATCTTCGTGGCAATCTTCATCTCATGCATTGTCTCATTTCTCCTGCTTCGCTATCCTACTCATTGCCTCCGACTTCGCACAAGGTCGATGACTCTCTACTAATGGTGAGGATTGAAATGATCTTTCTATCTATTTTTTAGCATCATTTTTTTTATACGTAACAACACTTACAGTATCTTTCATCAGTAGAGACAACGACGTGAGGAGAAATAAGATTAAATATTTCAATTTCATAAGTATATGAATACCAACATAACTTCTTAAAAATCGAAATACTAAACATAACTAACTATATAAAAAAAAAAGTAATTATCCATCTTTGATACTCAAGGCCATTTTATTAGAACCCAAAAAAACATCTTATCAGACATTATAAAAACCAGTTATCATGTCACAAAAAGATCCCATGAAAAACCTTATCACACCATAGTCTATTCAGTTAACCAAACCTCTAAAGAAACAACCTGTGTTAGAGGTTTGGTTAAGTTGGATGACAAGGAGTGCCGCCGTTTACCGAATCCGACCATTCATTTAACTGAAGTCACGGGGACCTGACTTGGAACCAGTGGCGTGCACTCCAGGTGGTCCATTGAACATGCGCCAGCCTCAACTGGCCAAGACACGATAGGGAGATGCTAACAAGCATTGAAATCTGACAAAATCTCAAACCTCACATCTCATTGGTCCTTTTCTTCCCAATTTATTTTCTTAATTTCAAAGAAAATAAAAACAGGTTTACTCTACCCATTTTTACCTTTCAAGATAGATTAACTAATCTAAAGAAAAACAAAAAAGAAATTCCATTGAAATGTATTTTTATTGACCAATCAGAATTACCTTCCAGGACCTATAATTGTCTCAAAAGGTCCAATATACACACATTATTGGACCTTTTGAATAAGAGTCAAGAAGATCTTATGAGAATTGAATATTTTCGCATAGAAGATGTAAAAGAGACATCCGACACTCTACAAAAGCATTTCGCAATTGATTTACCTAAGAATCAATTTTTATTTTAAATCCATGATAATTATTTCATCTTCTTTTTCTAATAAAAATAGAAAGAAAAATTTATAAAGAAAAAGAAGAAAATTTGTTTTTAATCTTTTTGGCACAATCCGTATTTTCGTGGAATGATCATAATCAAATTAATGTATCTAAGAATAGTGACTTTGAAGTCATAGATCCGAGATAAATGTGCCACCAAAGCCACCACTAATGTATGACTAAAGAAAGGGCATGGTCATGGGAGAGGCTCACTTTTACGTAACTGTTATTGGCATCTTCTTATCCCATGCATGCATGCATACGTCGAAAAGGTATATTTCTGACTTATATTTATAAGGGATAATCTTTCTAAAAAAGAACTTTCTAAAGAAAAGACAAAAATAAAAGATTTCTTTTAATATGAAATGGATATTTCCGTATCTTTTCTTTCCGTATATTTCAGACTTATATTTATAAGATGATAAAATATGACGAAAGCTATACCAAGAATCGGTTCACGTAGGAATGGGCGTATTGGTTCACGTAAGAATGGACGTAGAATACCAAAAGGAATTATTCACGTTCAAGCAAGTTTCAACAATACCATTGTAACTGTTAT